ATTCCATCTGTGTCGCCGGCTAACGCATCATCAGCACTTCTTTCTCGTAGACAGCTATCCGTTAAGAGTTATCCGGTAAAAAATAATGCGTGAGCGTGCGTGCATGCGTGCGTGCGTATGTGCGTATGTGCGTATGTCGCATACTCACGCAGGTACTCACTTCCGATTCACACCGATTCGAACAAAAGACATGGACTGCTGTTTAGAAGCACGGTGACACAATGAGGAACGGAAGTTCGGTCGATCCTATATATTTTTTCAGCGGAATTCGAGTCGTGGCCCTCATTTGCATCCCGTTTTACTTAAATCGCTACAAATTTTATTTTTTATATATTACGTTCCGTGTAAATGCTCGCCGTGTAAAATACTCTTGTAATATACTGCGTTTCAAGTATAGTGAACGTTAATATAATGTTAATATAATGTCGATAATTTGTGAATATATAATTTGTGAATTTCATAAGCAGAAAAAAAGTGAAGCACTTTAGCACTTATCGTAAAGTGAAATGTGCGATATTAGAAAAATTTGTTAATGTTTTATGAACGCAATGGAACGCTTCATGGGCGAAAATTGTCACGACAATTCATTTTACTGTGTGGCGAATATGAGACTCCTTGATCATGTTTACGAGATTTTCGAAAACTTCCTCCTAATGTTTCTCGTTTCTCCGTGGTATTACCTGATAGAATAAATAACAGAAAGAAAAAAAGGCCGTTAATGAGCTATTGTTGGAATTAAAATTACATTTTGACCAGATCCTCCATCCTTGCGCTTGTATCCTCCACATTCTCGCTTCTCCAAGCACGCAGTACACCGATACTCCCGCTACGCAAATTCCTATTGAGCTTTATTATATACGTTTTCGTGCTGCTTCGCTGTTGTGGCTTGGAATTACAGGCGAGCGCGGAGCTCCAAATTGGGTATGTTTCAAATGCTCGACAGTTATCATAAGAACGACTCTATTATGGAATTGACGTCGAGACATGTTTGTTTCCTGAAATCGTTTCTCCTGTAGTAGCATTCCCGTAAACGCGTGGATTACGTATTCTCGAATGCTACCGAAAACGACGACCTCTCGTAAATTTTTTTTCCGTTCTTTCTTTTTTTTTCGGCGACGCGACAGATTCTCGAGCGATCCTGCGTTATATTCTAGGACGGATATTCTACAACGTACGCGCGGCGCACGCTCAATCTCGAAACCTGGTGCACTCGATGCGATGACAACGACGATGACAACACGCTTGCGATACTCCGGCAAGGCGTGCATTCATGTATGCCCGTGCGATCGCGCGTTTTTCGCGCGTGTGTGCGTGTACGTACGTACGTACGTACACGCTGTTACACGCTTGCAGAAGGCCGCTCGCTCGGTCACTCGGTACGGCAAAGAGTGCGAGAGTCAGCGAGGGAATAAATGAGTTGGATGCGCGGGGAAAAGAGGGAAGGGGTGAGGGCGACGGGGGAGAGCGCGCGGTAGCGAGGAGGAGGCGAGAGGAGGAGCGTGCGA